CAGCAGCTGCCAATACAGTGCTCATCACAATCCTCTTGGGGACATGTACGGAGACCCTGCGAGTCTCCCTTCAGCAACCTGCAGCCCTTGCATTTCCATGGCTGAGCAATGACTTTCAGTACTGCATACAGTTTATCGGTCAGTCTGGGGGCACTAAAATTAACCTAGGCTAACAGAATGGAGCCCCAGGTTACAATTGATACCTCAGTCTCCCTGGTGTCAGCAGGTATTTAAGCATGCTCACACTACTAAATCATTGGGATTTAAATCTCTAAAGAATTGCATGCACCGCTGGATTTCAGTGAACCTGTTTTGCTTTTATTTTATAAGGTCCAAGGATGCAAGATATGACACCAATTGAGTGGATGCATTGGGTAGAAACTTTCCTGATTAATCTGAAACTCCTGACAGGGCTGACAAACGGGGCCTCCCAGCTGTGATAATGAGCACGGATGTAGTTCTACAATAAAATTAAATCTGGGATATATTATTTTATTCTTGTAATTATAAAGATTATACTGCAGTATCCTTAGTAACTTGTAACTTTAAAGAATATATTGTTTTGTCGTTCATAAAGAAACTTATTATTTCACCCACTCAATTAATGTCATATCCTGCATCCTTGAAAATAAAAGCAAAACAGCATCTTTCAGTCTGGGGCTGATATAAAATGGCCCAAGTTCATGCAGAGGAGCACCAGGTATCTAATTATACCTGGGTTTCCTGTTGTAAGTAGGGATTTAACCCTACTCTGTATTACAACGTATGGGTATTTAAACACCCATTTAAACATCTGTATAAAGCGCTCACTTTGAACATTGCATGCAGCTCATCTGTCAGTCTAGGGCCACTAAAAATTACCCCAGCTGAAAGAGGGAAGCCCAAGTTATCAATACATGAGACTACCTAGACAGAGTGAGCCAGAGCTAACTTTTTTCCCCCCGTGGCTTTTATATTTCCAGAACTTTTTACATCTCTAACTGGAACTCTTGTAAAGTTACACTCCCAGCAGCACTGGGCTAGATTTCTCTATGTGCAGCAATTAAGACTACACATACAGACTCCAATCACCATGACCACTTCAAGTCACTTTTTGGAGTAAGAGTTTAAACCCTTAAGGAGACAACTTCTGGAATAAAAGGGAATTGTGACTGAATATCTCCGTCATGTGTCCTTAAGGGGTTAATGTAACAGGATACAGAGACATGTTAGGTGCTTTTAACATTATGGCATTATCATCAGTTTGGGGAATGACAACCACTGTGCCCAAAGCAAGTTCCATGAAGACATGGTTTCACGTGGAGGAGTGAGTGTGACCACTTAACACCTTTGGGATGAAATGGTTAAGTGTACACATACAGCTAGTGTATGTATATTTACATACACACACACACACTGAGCGTTTCTTTAACATTCTAGCTGAGCTTTCAGAGAGAAGCAACAATGGGGTAAGGCAATCCCCTCTTTACAACAATAACCTGAAAAATGTAAGAAGAAAAAAAAAAAAAAAAAATTACCCATTCAGAAAAAGGGTTTCATTTCCATAATATATAGTTCTAGATTTTTAAAGGGGCATATCCACTATAGCATGCTGTATTTGTTAAAGGACCACTATAGGCACCCAGACCACTTCAGCTTAATGAAGTGGTCTGGGTGCCAGGTCCAGCTAGGATTAACCCTGCCTGCTGTAAACATAGCAGTTTCAGAGAAACTGCTATGTTTACACTAGGGTTAATCCAGCCTCTAGTAGCTGTCTCACTGACAGCCGCTTGAGGGCTTCCGCGCTTCTCACTGTGAAAATCACAGTGAGAAGACGCCAGCGTTGTGAATGCATTCCTATGGACTGGCAGAATGCGCGCGCGGCTCCTGCCGCGCATGCGCATTCAGCCGAAGAGGAGGAGGAGAGCTCCCTGCCTGGCGCTGGAGAAAGAGGTAAGTTTACCCCCTTCTTCTCCATCCAGCCCAGCGGGAACGGGACTCGAGGGTGGGGGCACCCTCAGGGCACTATAGTGCCAGGAAAACGAGTATGTTTTCCTGGCACTATAGTGGTTGTTTAAGGTGGTGTAAGGACTCTTTAGACCCCATCTGAACATTCAACATTTGCTTCGGTTCTAGACGCCCATGGCCTGGCCTTTCAGATATTACTAAAGTAGAGTTTAGTAATAAAGTTCCTACATCCACATTTGACATATCAAATCTGCCTGTTTCTACACAGGGGACACAAATAGGTGACTCCTAGCATCATAACCACTACAGTGCACTCTAGTGGTTATGGTGCTTACACTGTACGTTTAACTATTACTATGCATCCCACTTTAACATTTTATATTTTAAATAATCCTCAATTAGCAGGCATAAGGGAGAGTAAACATGTTAACATTACTTGAAAATGAATCAATGGAAATCCCCAATTTTTCAGAAGTCAGTAGCATCCCATGGTGTGATACAAAATGCTTACCCAATATGTACAAGTGCTATATTTCTGATATTCATGGCAGCTACTGCTAACTGTGGAACACCAGCAAATGAGGACATCACATAAAGAACAGCAAAAAATGTCTGGCAGAGTATTAAAAGAAGTAACCGTCTTGGCAACATTCGGAAGAAACAAAACGTAGTTGTCATTGCTATATTGGTGTGTGTGTGCGCCAATACCTGAATGTTTCAATTGCAAAGCTAGCAATCTTGCAAACACTGTCCATGTTATCCCCTAAGTCAGGGGTCCCTCAAACTCCGGCCCCCAAGATGTTGCTGAACTACAACTCCCTTGATTCTCTGGCGATCTATGTAATTCAAAGAATCAAGGGAGTTGTAATTCGGCAACATCTGGGGGAGGGGCGGAGTTTGAGGTCTCCTGCCCTAACTAAAGCAAGATTTTTTAGAAAAAACTATAAGGAAATAAATTCAAGAGGGAAGTGAAAATCTCCAACTCAGTTTTTTTTTTTTTTTGTTTTTTTTTTTTTAATCCAGGTTCTCTTTTTCCATTTGCAATTAAAACAAACTCCAAACTTAGTATATGATTATGGCAGTGAGTAAATAAAAGAAACCATTAAAAAAAAAACAAAAAAAACAAAAAAAACACCCCAACCTCCTCCAGATCTGCACGAAGCTTAATGAGCTTGCACAACCTTCTAATCCTTTGCCATAAAAGAAAAAACATAGCTGGGCCAAAGTCGGGTTAGATCAGACTTGCCATTTCCCCTGCCAACATGCCCTGTGTATCCCTGACAGGAAGTGCCATGCATCCCCTGCCCTTTGGGAAAGGGACTACAGATTCTGCAATGTCCCTTTAATTAGGGGGAAACTGCAGAATTAGCATGTTACAGATGACGGCAGGTGACCGGAGGTGTGCACTCCGTATTGGTTTGCAAAGCATTGGGCACAACTCTGGTACTTACAGGGTTACTGTGAGACACATAGAAGCCCTGAGGTGACAAGCCGTGCAATGCCCGCACGCTGCCACTCATCTAATGCCACCTGCCCGATACCCCCAGCCTCTCCATACACCCCCCCGGTCCCCCTCCATACACCCCCTGTCTCTCCATACATCCCCGGTCCCCCTCCATACACCCCCTGTCTCTCCATACACCCCCTGTCTCTCCATACACCCCCTGTCTCTCCATACACCCCTAGCCTCTCCAGCCACACCCCAGCCTCTCCATACACACCCCCCCGGTCCCCTCCATACACCCCCTGTCTCTCCATACACCCCCCTGTCTCTCCATACACCCCCTGTCTCTCCATACACCCCCGGTCCCCTCCATACACCCCCTGTCTCTCCATACACCCCCCTGTCTCTCCATACACTAGCCTCTCCATGTACACCCCCGGTCCCCCTCCATACACCCCTGTCTCTCCCACATACACCCCTAGCCTCTCCATGCACCCCTAGCCTCTCCATACACCCCTAGCCTCTCCAGCCACACACCCCAGGTCCCCCTCATACACTAGCCTCTCCATGCACCCCTAGCCTCTCCATGCACTAGCCCTCTCCATACACCTGTCTCTCCATACACACCCCCAGTCCCCCTCCATACACCCCCAGTCTCTCCATACCCCCCTCTCCATGCACACCCCCAGTCCCCTCTCCATACACCCCCCCAGTCTCTCCATACACCCCCGGCCCCCTCTGCCCGCCCCTCCTTGTAGGCCGCACCCCCCGCGGGTATAACTCACCTGGCCGCAGCGGCTCAGTCAGGGTGAGCACGAGTAGAAAGAGCAGGAGGAAAGTGCCGCTGTCCGCTTTGGGCACCATTTATCCTCCGTTCATCCTTCCGCCAGAGCCGTGAAAGTGGGACACTCAGCGCCGTGCGGGGGGAGGTGTAATCCCGCACTGCTATCACAACTCGTCCAATGTACAATAATCCTATCGCTTCCACGATTCCCGTTCCCCTTCCGTTAGTGTTTGCTGCCCGGTCGGTACCGGGAACTGTGCAGATTGACTAATCAGTGCTGACAAGATGGCGGCCTCCGTCTCCTCACAACAAACAGAGCGCAGCGCAGCCAATCACAGCGCGGCGAGGACGGGATTTACGGGCTGTCACGTGGTTAAAGGGGGCATATAATAGGGGGTCCGCCCGGTCACCGAGTCCGCCTATTAGCGGTGAGCAGGCGGGAGGGTCTGTCTCGGGAACACGGAGACTGGCCGCTCATTGATCAGTGAATAGCGCCTCAGGGTGACATAGTGGAGCCCAGCTGTCACTGGAGAGCAGTGGGAGCATTTAGATTTATTTATTTATTTTATTCAGCCTTTTTGCTCACCGTTTGCAATTTACATTTTAGTTCACAGTTACAAGTTTATATAATTTTTGGCGAAAATAGCTGGACTTGTCATTTTCTTCAATTCAGCTTTGTTTTTATATAAAAACAGAGAATATGAGAACTCTGAGAACCCTTGCCCTCCAGACAGTCCTGGATTCAGTGGCATGGTCCTCTGTTTGTTCACTTAGGTCCCACTTTTGGAGATACTATAGAAATGTCCCCAGTAATCACAGCGCTAGTGTGTCATTAGCTTGTCCTCTAGGCAGTTAGCTGTGCTTCCACATCAATACTGATGCATAGTGTCACTTTAATGCCTCTTACATAGCCCATCCTACATTGAGGTACTACCTAAACATCCTGGTTTCAGCAGTTTAGTACCAATTTTACACTCCCCGTTTAGTTCATTGGTGTTCTGCATCAGAGTACACCAGGGAAATTTCTACAATCAGCATAGCACAAGCGCATCAAAAGATACATTCACGCTTTACAAACTGCAGCAGTCTGGGAATTAAGCTCGTGCCCAGGGTGATTTTAAAATGCTCAGCGTGTGTCAGCCAGGGAATCTCTCAGTCAGCTTGTCCTAAATTAATGTCGCCCTGGCCTTCTTTGTGTGGCCTGCCTAGATTTTAAACAGGACTCACATTTGGGGCATCTCACCAGTGATGCAAAAGGCATAACAGGCACATCCCCATAAGCCTGCCTACCCCCTATCCCCAATTCCATACGTTCCAATGCTGGGAGGTATAAATTTGTATGTTTTCAGTTTTTGTCTTTGCAAAGGCCCCAAAAGTGGCTGATCTGCTTTAAAATGATGATAAATGCTACAAGAGACGTGGAAGGTCAGGCAAGCGGTTGCAGGCTGCAGCCTCAAACCATTCTTCTGAAAATTAAAATAACAGGAGGAATGTCTGTTCGCTCGGTTCTGAAAGACCAAGACACCAGGCAGAAATTGTGTAGTGGTTTTGCAAGCCCAGTGTGGGCTTGTACCTGTGCTTATAACCTGTGCTCTCCCATTAGACTATAATATCTGAGGCTGTCCTAGCTACCAGGCAACAATGAGTATAGATGATGCAGGCGATTGCCATTGACAACAGGTTGAGATGAGACCGTGACACTCCTAAAACACATAGGTGCCATATTTATTAGCACCAGACATCCCAACATTTACGCTGAATAATTGAGAAGGAGTTGACTTCTATCCTGTTCGTTGGTGCGTTTCCTTTCATCTAAGAAAAGCGGCATTCGACTAAATTGAACGAATGACCGTCGGGCACACGCCTACCCAGTTTATGAACGTTTACATTTGTTAGTTTATTCATGAGAACTCCTGAAAGAAGACCGGTCAAAGCATTCAATCGCATGTAACTGTTTTGGGGCTTCACCTCGTGGCTGACCGGTTTAAAACTTCACTCGAATGGCGAATTGGGCACTCAGATCCCTGCTATTTGGTGAAGTGTCTTTCATGGAGTTCTGATTAATATTTAAGGAGTTATGATGTTTTAAAATATTGTTTAATTTGCTGTACTTGGGAGATAATCTAATTAAAGAATTGTTCTTATGCAATCATCTTCCAAGTACAGAAAAGGATCATGGGAAATGTGTCTTTGTTCCCTGTCCTCCACAAGGTCCACCAGGGGAAAACCCCTGGAATGTAATTAAAGACACCCCTTGCATGGGGAATTGTATAAAAGCCAGCTGTGGCTCAATAAAAATCAGTTGACTCCCAAAGTTGTGTTTCATCCAGTTGTTGGGGAATGGGATTGGAATTGTCACGCTACACTTTATCTGAATGCTGATCAAGTCTACCAGCGGAGATATTGCCATTAATATGTCTACTCCGCAACTAGGATATTCACTAGCCACCCAGGCAGAGAGGCGAAACACCAATATCACGCAATAGATAACACAAAGGGACTGAGTGAGCCCAAGTGCTTACGAGGCTTACCCTATGGGGCTAGACGAGAAATGCAGCAAAATCCCCCTTCCCCTCCCCCCCCCAATCTACCCGCCTTCCCCTCCATGTAGTATCCTTACCTCACATACCACACAGGGTTCACTGGTACATCCTGGACCAAGGAGACTCCGAGTAAGGGGTCCGCACAGATGTTCGAAGCAATAAGGCAGAGCGACGCCACGTACGCATCACCAACTCGATAGCATTGCCAGATGCACACAGCGTTCTGATGTAACAAGTATTGTTGAATGAGCATGTATAACAATGTATTGTACTGATTGGAAATGTACAGTGGTAAAGTTACTATTAACCCTACCCTTCTTGCCTTTTGTATCCAATGCATACTTAAGAAAATAAAAAAATGTAAAATTGAAAGAAAAAAAAATATGTCTACTCCGCTACAAAGTTACAGTTTAGTTACAAAGAGATCAGAAACACCAGTACATAAATATTATGTATTTTAAGTTGGGTTTTAGAATACATTAATTGCCCCTCATAAAACTGGAATTCCTGCGCCTCCCCGCGCCCGCTCATCCTCAGAGGGCCAGATTAAAGATGAGGGGAAAAAATAATTATAGAATTCATAATTGAAACCTTAGAACTTTGCAATCCATTTTTAGATTCAGATTAAATATGCAGATGATTTTCCATACCAAAAGCTCTCTTGGAGCAGAAGAATGGTTTACCCAATTTATAAATTGCCTTGGTTGGGGCAGGTTTTCTGGTGTGGGTGATATTAAGAGGTATTTCTTATATAATTGTTTTGTCTAGTTCATACAAATATTCATTTTGAACCTTTTTACCCACTGAAGCAAGTTACGTGCCTGGCTGAGTGGTGGTATTTGTGATACCTCCATGAAAGGATCAGGCCGGATTAAGAGCCCATTGGAATACAGAATCTTATTGACAGAAAACACCAAAACAGTTATACCTCCCAAGCGTCATCTATCTGGTGGAGGTGGTGCAGGGGAAAAACTCACACGATATAGTTATCAGAAAACACATACCCTATGCCAATCTCTCGCTTTCAAGTAAATCCATACCCCCTTAACAGCAGTGTCTATTGAAGCAGGATTTCGGTGGGCAAGGTAAAAGGGCCACTGATATGAATCTCGTAAACAGAACCGCCCAAAGGTACAAGCATGCTCAAAAAGGCACAAAGAGTGAGATGGTCAGCTTGGTGTGAATGCACATCAGGCTGCCTGCCAATCATGCAAGATGAGCAACCAAGGGCATACTATGCAGACAGCACCCTGAGCTTGGCATAAATGCATCTAATGATTTGCTAGCTCTACACTTTCTAAGGACTGCTCCCTTGCACTAGCTGGTTAACTCCTCTCCTAATGTACTTACTCGCTGGTAGAAGCTCCTGTTATACAGCCTAGGACAGAGAAAAAAGTGTATGTAGTGAGGGTAGAAGAAAGGGGGCATGCCACAGTGTTAGAGAGACCGAAGCAGCAAGAGTATTTGCATAGTGCGCAAAGTCAGCTTTACCTTAAGTAATTTCATTGTCAGCCAGTCCACACCAGATATGTTACCCTACATTCCTCTTAAGTTTCCGTACTTAAGCAAGAGCATGTGAAGAGTATGTGAGGATATTTATGGGGTGATAATTATTAAAAATAATGTTTTCATAAAAATTCTAAAAAATGAATTTAATCATTTTATTATAGCAAAAATGTATATATTGGCCCTGTTCCCCTTAATTAAAGCGAAGAGCTACCCAATATTTTTAGCTCTTATTGACCCTGGCGTACATTTATTAGAGGATTTATATTTCACACATTAATGACAAACTAATTATAAAAATATAATTTATTGTAATAATATGTAACATGCATGACAATAATCAGTGAATATTTAGGTATAACAAATTTATAAAATATGGCAATGGTTTAACTCAATTTACAGACAGCTAAATAGCGACAGTTATATCGACATAAATGTAAATTTCAACAAGGTTTATGACAGACATGTCACTTTGAAACCAGCGATGCAATTCCTTACACAGCATCAACTTGAAATTCCTTTACACAGAGGTTTTCACAGCGTCTGTCTCACACAGCACAGGATAGAGCAGTAAAAAGGATTTTTGGACTGACATTCTGTTAACTCCTCGCTATTGGCTACAATTCTCATAGGCAATATACCCTTTTATATTGCAATTGCATCTTTCTCATACCAGATCATTTAACCATTCCTTTTTCATCCAATAATAGTAATTCTAACCAGATTTTACCATATGCAGAATTTTAGCTTTCCTAATTAAAGATTACTATCCCTAATTCAGGTAAGTAAATATCCCTGGGTAAAAGTTCAGTATTCTAATTTTTGACAAATTACCAGTGAATATATTGTTTAATTATTCCACCTGTAGGAATAGAATTTTTATAACCATATATTCCTTAATTAATTGTGATTTCTAAGTTAGAAACCTGACCAACCTTCACCCAGATATATTCCGCTTCTTTGTAAAAGTTAGTTAATTTAATTTAAATTAAATAAAAAACAGCATAATTACCAGTTTCTTTTGTAGAATTTCTATCAGGCTTGGAAATGTGAATACAAGTATGAATGAGAATTGTGGGAAATAGGAAAGTTTTCAGTTGAAGAGACAAGTGTTAGGATTTTTCAAAGTTCCAGAATTTTTAAAGAGATGAAGAAAGTTAGGTGTGTCCTCGTTCATGCTCCAGATGTAAGATCTTAGATGTTAGATGTCCCATCCCCAGAAAGTGTTCCTCTCTCACCTTTGTCCTTAATTTTTAAAGGAGAATTTCTCTATATGTCGTTAGTTGACAGTGACCAATAGAGTAAGGTGGGCGTGTCTTTCCTACAGACTCATCTAGATTTTGGTCAGTAGATGGCGCAATTACATCACCAAAAAGTCTTGTCAGGTTGTCCATTTACTATTTTTTATAATGGGTTAACTGAATTTCGTGATGCGTTTGACATAATCTGGGCTATCTTTATGATACCTATTCATTAAAAAGCTGTCAAACTTCAAAGCGTTTTCTTTGGTTTTTACTAGACATACTGTCTGGTTTGGGGCCATAAAATTAGTTTCTGACACATGTAGCCTTAATTTCACCCTTCCTTACAATGGAACTTTGTATTAGATGCTTCATATTTAATAAGTAAATTAATTACTTTAGTGTTATCTGTCATTCTGTGTCTGGTTTTCTTGTGTTTAACTGTGTGTAGCGCTTAGTAATGTTACACATCTGATTTATACATGTCTATTACACATATTCCACTATCGTTAGTATATAATATGGTATTTCTTCATTGATATTATATCCATGAATATTCTAATAATATTAACTATTACTATTTATATATAAGTAAACATATAGTTAGTTATATGTGGATATATGTATATGTATTAGAGTGTCTAATATATATATATATATATATATATATATATATATATATATATGTGTCTGGGTTGTTGCTGTCAACCCCCCTTCTGCTGAAAACATCATGTCTTATCTCTGCCAATGTTTACATTAGTCGCATTCCTCT